TATTTCCAAGTCATTGTAGCGGGGTGTGCTAGCAGATGGTGCAGCAAAACCTTTCCCATTATTTTCAGGGTAAAAAACAATCCACAAAAAATGCCTGAAAGATGCAATTTAAGCACTCGTATGGTCTCCGATGCGGGTTATTTATTTACCTTGCCTTGCCGCATTGAAACGTAAAATACGCGACACCAACGTGGCAAGCTTTCTGGGTTACTCAATCGACTGACATAAAAGGAGCTAAAAAATAAACACAGCACGTGATGTCATAAAAATGGCTTTATTGCAGAGATTGTGCTAATCATGTCAAGCATGTGGTCGCTGATGGCGCTTTGATGGGATGGGCCGTGTCACTGCGCTGTAGTGCATAGAAAGCTGCCAGCAGCCCCAAATATTGTGATCTCAAATTGCATCCACGCACATCAGCACACAATGAATGATCGGTTGCGACAGAGAACTGGTTAGATACTCTGTTTTTATAGAGTAATCATTATCATCATCATCATTGTTGTCCGCGTGACTACGTCCACTGCAGGACAAAGGCTTCTCCCAAGTTCCGCCAGTTAACCCGGTCCTGTGCTTGCTGCTGTCAATTTATACCCGCAAACTTCTTAATCTTATCTTCCCACCTAACCTTCTGTCTCCCCCTAACTCTCTTGCCTTTTCTGGGAATCCAATTTGTTACCCTTAATGACCAGCGGCTATCCTGTCTACGCGCTACAGGCCCGGCCCACATCCATTTCCTCTTCATTTCAACTACAATACCCTTAACCCCCGTTTGCCCTCTAATCCACTCTGCTCTCTTCTTGTTTCTTAAGGTCACACCTACCATTAAAGAGTAATATTGAGCTTTATATTACACGTTCTAAGGTTAAAGAATATTTTAAGCATGATTGTTGCTTGTACTGACTGCAACTGCGCAATGCTCCACCTATAACATCGAATGTTCAAGGTCGTCTGAATAAAACTAAGCGATGTTGCAAATATTTTCCAAAACGATCCACCAGCATAGGCAATATCTATCGAGATTAGAGCATTACTATTTAGGCAGCGATCACTGACACTATGACTACTATAGCAAATATTCTGATAAACAAGTGGAATGGCGCTTGTGGAATGCGTGACGTGGTGACAGTTACACAGAGTTGCTGAATTGAAAAATAGCTACCGAGTCTCGCAGTGTGTTAGGGGCTACTTTTAGTCGAGAAGTGACAGAAGGATAGATGACATGGGGATGACACTACTATAGCAGCAAAGGCAAAGTCATCTTCAGTGGTATTTTTGAAACTGAGCGACCATGTGTTCATGCTTTATCTCTGTAAGAAATGACTTTCAAACGCACCCTTTGTTACAATACGGTCTTCCGAAATGTCACAGCGCGTTCTTCTTTTACCGATCTGAAAAGATGTATGAGGTGCCTTACGATACAGCGGAATGTGCAAATACAGGAATTCTCGCAACAAAGAAGCGAATCAGTTATCGTTCACAAGACATCTATGGCTGAAATAGCCTAGAACTCCAGAGTGACGTGGCAATAATTATCAAATTGATTTTGATCTGGTGTTTTTGGCATTGTTCTGTACTTAGTTAAAGGTGACGGGTTTGTTACGCATTTGTGTATCTTCTTCCTGGTCACTTTCTGCAACCATTTGCCGTGGATGTAACAGCATTGAGTACTCCTTCCACTTTGTCATATGCTGTGCAGTAAGGTATAAAACCAAATGCACAATTAAAATTGGTGACAAACTATAGGCTTAAAAATCACAGCACATCAACAGAGTCAATGACGATGAGTGAGGCGAAGTGATCATTCGTCCATCAGTGTGTCCAGATGGATGGACCGATGGAATCATGGCGACAGATGGTCAGACAGACAGACGAATGGATGCACGAACACACTCATTGATGGACGGAAGCATGCACGGACGGATTGCCGGATGGACGGAAGCCTGAATGGACAGACGCACTGATGGACGGACGGAAGGACAGATGAATCGACAGAAGCATGAATAGATGGACGGCTGCAAAGACAGATGAAAGCATCAGTGAACGGACGCATGGACAGACAGACAGACGTATGGAAGCACGGGCGAACTGACAGAAGCAGTCACGGATGGATGGATGGGTGAATGGACGGACGCACGCTTGGATGGACAGATGGACGGGCGGACAAATGCTCCATCCCACTCATCGTTATTCACTCTGTGGATATGCTGTGAAAATCACTAACGCTATCGAGTGATATTATTCCCAAGGACGTGTACACACAATGTCATCTATTGAGCAACTCATGAACTAGAGGTGGCTACATACTACTAATACTATGACAGATGAGGAAATGACCCACTGCGTGTGGAGCTTCTCCCCTAAGAAGTTATAGCAGGGAAACTCTCTGCTTGCGGAGCGTTGAAACAACACCGTCGTTAAGAAGACTGCATTACTCAGTCTATAAACAAGAACGCAATTCCACTCGGTTGGATCGAAAATTGTTAGGCTTAGCTTCTCATTTAGAACAAGTTTTATTTTCGACTAACGAACTGTTTCTGGCGCAGTAAAAGCTGAGAAATTTATTCAAGGATGAGGAATATGCGATGTATCCATGAGAAACGAAGGCAAGCTTGAGGTAGCAGGATGTGGAAAATAGTGGGCCTCTCTATCGCACTGTATGGTTACTTGCCATGACCTGAGCGCTCTTTGATCAGTCTTATCAACCTGATATATAATAAAGCTGGCATGGTATGAGTATAAACAAGAGGAATACAAAGCAGGCTTGGCATATGCCACAATATTCTTTTACAAAGTTTGGTATGTTGCAACAAATATAGGCATGCATGTATAAGTAACACATTTTGAGAATAACTTGCCACGACCTTAATGCCTTGGCGTTAACGAAAGAGCTGTTTAAGCTCTGAAAAATCCAGCTGCCCACGAACAAAGTCTACAACCACTGGGAACCAGCTTTTCCTCCTTTTGTCCACTTCTTCATCTTCTGGATCTTTCCTGAATAATTTGTACCTACTTGTTTTGGGGGGGATGCAATAGGTGCGATCGCCTAGAGAACGAGTAAAAATTGAGAGAAGCACAAAGAGAAAATAGAAATAAAGAGATAACTAAAAAGAGAAAAAAAAGGAGAAAAAAGAGTTCAATAACTGAAGAGAGAGAGAGAGTGTATGTGTCTGAAAGAATAATGGAAGACGGGGATGTTAACTAGAAGAAGACTTTGGTTTGATACCCTGTTTTGGGAAGGAGAAAAAAGTGGAAAAGAATGAAACAAACGAGATAAGGATACACACAAAAAATGAGACAGGATAGTGTGGTAGAAAGACAAGAAGTGATACAGGGGTAAAGAAACATGAATTAGAAAGAAAATAAAGGGAGAGAAAGGGAAAGTTGCAGAGACAGAAAGAAAGAAGTAGGGGGAAAAAGAGACGACAAGGGCCTTCATTGGCTCGGGCAGTGTTTTCATTCATTATATACGATTCCATTTTATAAACGTAAAATTCATAGGAGATTTTTAGATTTATATCCTTCTAAATGATTGTTCCGCCCAGTTAAGGCCGATCCCATTTCATCAATTAATCAATCATCTTATTGATTGATCGATTCATTGATTTATTGATATGTGGGTTTCAACGTCGCAAGTTTGTCTTATGGTTATGAGTGATGCTGTAGTGGAGGGCTTTGAAAATTTCCGACCACCTGAGGTTCTTTAACGTGCGCCCAAACCTGAACACATGGGCCTGCAGCATTTTGGCCTGTTTCAAAAATGCAGCCACCACAGCCGCGATTCGATTCCACAACCTGTGGGTCAGCAGCCGAGTATTTTTACCAATATACCACCGCGGTGCGGAGTATTCTTTTTGAGGTAAAATAGAATTGCGTCGTTTGCACGACTAGCAGTTCCTTTACCACAGAGCCACGCCACTGCGAGATACCTTTTCGAAAAAATAAAAAAAAAACACAATCCAAAATACAGTTTTATTCATCGTCATAATCACCATGCGAAGGTCATGTAGTGGTAGAAGTATTATTTATGGGTCTTGCTTTCTGTGGTTGAAGTGAACGGTTGCACCAGAAGTTTAAACATTTGAATCGAGCAACCAGTGGGCGTCCTAAAGGCACACCTGGCGCTGTTACAAAGCACTTAGAAGTATCTAACTATGCTCAGCTAGGAGATCGCAGAAAAATGAGCAGGTGTGTAACTTTGTTTGTTAATTTACAGACGCTTAGTGGGTGCTATGCCTATAACTAAAGAAATAAGGGTGGTGCAGTGGCAGTTTGACAATGCTAGTTCCAGTTGTCGTAGAAAGATAGTTTGAAATGGTCAATTTTGCTCGCATAGCAATATAGACAATTTTAGCCACTGCCATGGGTTACACAATAACATTAGTTAAGGCACTCCAGGCTTGCAATAGTCTTTTTATGGCCTCGTTCAACCCACGTGTGACGAAGCACACAAAGGCTAGTTACAGAAACGGGGCTAGAAAGATGTGCTGTAATTTTATTACACTGCAGCTCACCGCAGCATTGAGCCTATTTTTGCTTAATCATATCATTGGTGCAACTAGTATTGTGATCTGCAGGGGAAACCTTGTTCGCATTAGGTACATGCAACTGATTATCGTTTTTCCCGAAATATTCACAGGAGCCTTCTGAGGGGGGTGGCACAATGCTTTTCTACTGTAATAAAAAAGCAGCAGTGGTCTTTATATGCTCCTATCATGAAATTCATTGCATTGTCGGAAAGCTTGTGTGGGAAAGTGCAGGCCATCAACACGGGAACACGGCATAAGCTACGAAAGTGAAAAAAGTGCGTATGCAATTATTAGGTTGAATCTACATGTTGGCGTTGTGATAATGAAGCTTCAACATTAAGAAACAAATATAAAATCTTTTCAATTACTTCAAAAAAGTCAATACGTGAGTCATAGTGAGCGAAGGTATTCTATATGGCTTATTTGTAATATTTTAGTGCAGCACAGGACAAGTGTTTTTATTTGTCATGCTTAAGAATCAGTGGTCTCGTATTCTGTTTCGTCGTAATAATATTCGTAACCATATTGATTATGATCACTATGAGATATCCCTGCATGTATATCTGTGTTTGAAATGTCAACAGCTTCAGTAATGCCATCACTGCCAGGACTTCCAACAGTGTCAGCAGCTACATCAGTGCCAGTGGAGTCATCGATGTCGCCACTGTAGCCACTGCCAGCACCATCTGTGCTAGTATCATCAGTGCCAGCACTGTCATCAGCCCCCGCAGGGTCAGCAGTGCCAGCAGCACCATCTGTGGGAGTAGCGTCGTCAGCGCCAAAAGCAGGATCAGGGTCAGTGGGATCATCAGTGTGAGCAGGAGAATCAATGTCAGCATTGTCATCAATACCAGTAGCACCAACAGTGTCAGCCACGTCATCAGTAACAGCAGTGCCAGCCGAGCCAGGAGCACCATCACTGCCGGTATCACCCAAAGCAGTAGTAATGTCGTAAGTCTTATCAGTCCCAGGAGCACCAGTCACATCATCAACGTTCGTAGCCCCTTCACTTCCAGTAGCAGAAGAACCACGAGCAGCACCTACGACTGCAACAGCTCCAGCAGCACCAGCGGCAGCAGCAGCACCAGCTGCGCCAATGAGGCCCAGTTTCCCGGCAGTACCAAGACCACCGGTTCTTCCACCGTAACCACCGTAGCCCATGCCACCAAGGCCACCAAGACCGCCAAGGCCGCCATACATACCCATACCACCAAGGCCGCCATACATACCCATACCGCCAAGGGCACCCATACCCCCAAATGCACCCATGCCGCCATAGGCACCCATGCCGCCATAGGCGCCCATGCCGCCAAGGCCCCCATAGCCGCCATATCCGAGATGAGTACTCGTGAAGCCTCCTAGGCCAGATGCAACAGTCGGCAGGACCATATCTGCGAAAGGTACACACATTGGGTCATTAGTTTTCATTTATTATCGAGTAAATTTATTCTAAGAAGCAGTCGAAATACAATGCACTACTGTTCATTGTTTAGCTGAATGCTTTACAATAATCAGCGTATCAAACAAGCTTGCTACAAGGAAAATCAAGTGAAATTTTCGTTTTCACCGTGCACAATCTCACAGATGGAGGACAACGAAAAAAAAAGCAGCCAAGGGGTGATATGCTGGTCGGTGAAAACATCTAAATAATTTGTATAGTTACTTCAGTTCATAAACCAATCAACATGCGATGTCCACATTGTCGGAGTAGTGCTACACGCTTTTGACAATTGCGAAAATAATCAGAAAGCACCAATGACGACAACTTTTCCAAGACAAGATCTTCAAGAAGATAAAAAATGAAGGCAGTACTTCAGGGAAACGAATAAGCACATAAATGTAGACATAAAGTTCCATAGCAACGTAAACGAATCAGGTTACAGATATTCAAGCGAACTTTCGAGCCTCTTTAAGAACACGCATTGCTCATCTATTGAAAAAGAAAAAAATCCAAGCTCTTCAAAAAAGTTTAGCATCGAAGGAGTGGTTCCAAGCACAAAAGAGCAACATTCGTAACTCACAGATCATAACAGTGGTTCAGGCAGCAACGAGTGGCCAGTGAAGCTGCAGTTTACTTTGGGGGTGAGGAATCGACATAGACAGGCCACAGCATGTACAAAATAGTAGACCGGTTTTATGATATAGCTGGGAAACAGCTATGAAAATGCGACAAGCAGCCAAAGAGTGCAAGTTGTCTGGTGTGTTGACCAGATATTTTCGCAGAAATCGATTAGAATAATTTCCCACAAATAAGGATGAATCCGACATCATTCGAAATTGTTTTAGTGCATAGCAGAGAAGGAAGTGAACATTTGTTGTATGAAGTTATACTCGTTAAATGTTTTATTATAATTTCTCCAGCAATGATGAAGAGGAACATTGTTTTCTGAATCTACCAGAAATGAGGTGTTTATAGAAATGGACCTAATTATGTGATAAATAAATGCTTTTCTATAGTGAACTACCCCTTTGGAGTGTTAAGGTTGTTGGAAATTGTTTGAACCTCCCGCGCGAATAGCGCGCGCACCAAGGGACGGAGAACGACGAGGAAGAAGAAGAGACCAAGTAGGAAATAGAACACGCTCTTTTACCATGGATGCTGGCGTTTGCGTCTCCTTCATTTGGTGCCTTTAAACTCCGAAGCGTGGTTTTCCCACATCGATTTTTGGTGCCGACGACCCGGGAATCAAGCCTACAACGACCCGAGCCTTTCATTCCTGGTGTGGGTGAGCTGCGCTGCGAGCTAGACCGACATGGAGCGAGCGAAGAGCAAGCGGGCCTCGCGGCGATCGATGAACACGAGAATCATCAACGAGGTCAACCAGGTGCTCCAGTCCAATGAGTTCGAGCTTTCTGGACTTCGAATGCTGCACGGCCGCCTACGCGCCAGCAACGTGGAACTTAAAGCCTTGAACAACGAGGTTGAAACCCTGATCACTGACGACCTGGCGGCAGACGACTATGAGGTGGTCATGCAATACGATGACGCCGCTAACAGTACTCTGGCGTTGCTCGAGCACCACATTGAAGTTCTGAAGACTTCTGCTACGCCGGCGTCGTCTACAACTCCAGCCATGGGCGCAAGGACCTGTGAGGGTGCACCGAGCGAGCATGAACGACTTCCACAACGTGAGTTCGGCGCACGACTTCCCAAGCTGGAGCTTCTTCGTTTCGATGGAAACGTGATCAAGTGGCAACCCTTTTGGGATATGTTCCTGCACTCCGTGCACGAGAACCCAAGGCTGTCCAACACAGACCGGTTTCACTACTTGGCCTCACTTCTAGATGGACCTGCAGCTCAGGCCGTCGCCGGTATTCAGGTGACAGATTCTTGTTACGATGACGCGCTGGAAATTTTGAAACGTCGGTTTGGAAACAAGAAAGTCATTGAGCAGAAGTACTTAGGAAATTTGCGCACGCTCAAACCAGTGAAATTAGCGAGTGATGTCACTGCTCTGCGCAAGCTTTTCGACACAGTTCAACTAAACAGGAGGGGACTGCGTAGTCTTGGAATCACGGAGTCATCCTACGCGGCTATGCTGAATGAAGTTCTGCTCAAAGTCATACCAGCTGACATTGTCGTAGAATACTTCAAAAAAGAAAGTATGGAGAACACGACGGAAACGAGCCAGGCTTCATCTGATCAGGAACTTGAGCAGCTGATGAAATTTCTCCGCATCGAAGTTGAATGTCGAGAAAAGAGTTCTTTAGTGAACAATTTGCCAACGACATCGAACAACAGCGTACCTGTATTAAATAGATCATTCAAGAAGCAGTCCGCGACTCCTACAGCATCCGTTCTTCAAAACAAGACACTATCTTCCCCTTCGTCCTGTTTTTTCTGCGCTGCTACCGATCACAAGACAGAGGACTGCACGAGTGACATGACTCTGGCCGAGAAGCGCAACAAACTTGTAACAGACGGTCGATGCTTCCGGTGCACGTCAAAAGGACATCTGGTCCGCAATTGCCGGCGGAGAGTGCACTGCCAAGCATGCAAGCGCAGACACGCCTCCTCGATGTGCAATGCTAGTAGTTCTGAAACACCATCAGTGACTAATGCTCAGAAGAAACCGAATGCTACGGTGCAAGTTTCCACTCAGAGAGCTTCAGTTCCCCGACTCATCAATGATGTTCTTCTCCAGACTTTTCGAGCTTGGGTAACGACTTCATCTCATTGTTGCTATATACGCGGTGTTCTCGACAATGGAAGCCAGCGAACGTTCGTCACTGAGAGCGTCGCTTCCAAGCTAAGTCTACCTGCTGTTGCCGAGACCGAACTCGCCATCAGTGCGTTTGGTAGAGCGAGCGACCCAACCCGACGATTCAAAATGGTCAAGATCACGCTCCGCAGTCAGCACGACGACCTAACCATTGACATTGAGGCCATAGTGGTGCCCTTTATTTGCGAGGAGATGATTGAAGCACCAAGGCAGAGTCGTCTTCTTCAAGCCATCGCAGCGGAGGGGAAACATCTGGCTGACGCAGTCGTTTACCCGAGTGTAGATTGTGAGCCAGGTGTGAGTGTCCTCATTGGATCGGACCAGCTTTGGAAGTTGATGCCCAACACGAGTGAAGTGAGGTGGGATGAAGAAAACCCTGCCTTACTCGCCATTAACACAAAGATGGGCTGGACTCTCCAAGGCCCCTTATCTGGTGGTGGAAGCACGAGTAACAAAGCAAGCACCCAAGTATGTGTTCTTCGAACAGGTTCCCACGAAGACGACCAGATCGCCTTCCCATTACAAAGATTTTGGGACCTCGATGCTATCGGAATTGCCGACACGCCGACGTCTCAGTGCAACGCAGATATTTTGGAAGAATTCAACAACACTACCAAGCTTCGGAAAGGACGCTATGAAGTTGCGTTGCCATGGAAATCACCTCTCGTCGACATGGCCGACAATCGCAAAGTAGCGCTTTCGAGGCTCCATGGACTCGTCAAGCGGCTGTCACCAAACGACGAAGCCATGAGAGCCTACGATAAGGCTATCAGGCAGTATGAGGTGGACGGTCATGCTGAAAAAGTTGAAGATGCCCCTTATTGTACACAGCACCTATACTACATGCCGCATCGAGAGGTAATCCGCGAAACATCTACGACGACGAGACTTCGCGTAGTCTTCGACGCATCATCGCATGCATCAGGAGCTTGTTCTCTCAACGAACAACTCGAAAAAGGTCCTAATCTGAATGCTGACCTTTTCAAGGTTTTGATCCGGTTTCGCCTTTTCGCCATCGGAATTACAGCAGACGTGCAGAAGGCGTTTCTACAAATCAGCATTCGAGAAGAAGACAGAGATGCTCTTCGTTTCTTGTGGTTTGAAGGGCTACCAATGTCAGGCAGACCACTGCCAAAAATACAAGAAATGCGAATGACCAGAGTTCCATTCGGCACCTCCGCAAGCCCTTTCCTATTATCTGCAACGTTGAAATACCATTTCGATCACGTTGAACAAATTTACCAAGTAACGGCCGCAAAACTGAAGGCAAGCTTCTACGTCGATGACCTAGTTTTCGGAGCTTCAACGACAAAAGAAGCGCTACAACTCTACGAAGAGACGAAGGCCATAATGGAGCTGGCCGGAATGAAAATGCAGAAGTGGTCAACAAACTGCGACCTGTTAAGAGAGAAGCTCAAGCAAGCAGGAGAGACGTCAGCTGAGCAGGTCACACAATCTAAGGTTCTTGGGCTATCCTGGAACTACACCGACGACACCATTTCGGTGAAAATTGACTCTGTGACGAAAGTCTTAAAAGCGGGACTTTGTACCAAGCGAACTGTGCTTCAGGCTTCATCACGAATTTTCGACCCCTTGGGACTGCTAGCACCGTTCACCATTCGAGTTAAAATACTTTTTCAGAAGATATGGATGCAAGGACTCGATTGGGAAAGCGTTCTCCCCGAGACATTGAAGATCGAGTGGGACAAGTGGACTGTCGAACTTCAAGACCTCAAAGACTTTAGAACCAAGAGGTATCAACTAGACAACAGCAGCCCTGATAAAAGCACTCACCAGCTGCATATATTCACGGACGCTAGCCCGTGTGCCTACGGAGTAGTGGCATACATACGAGTGGAAGACAGTACCGGAGCGGTTCGACTCCAGCAGCTGCTCGCTAAGTCTCGGGTCGCTCCAATCAAGGGTCTCACTTTACCACGCCTGGAACTCGTCGCTGCGGTTCTTGGAGCTCGACTTCTTAAGCTACTTGTGGATACTTTGCCACACACAAATATAGAATACTTCTGCTGGACCGACTCCCAAGTTTGCTTGAGTTGGATCAAGTCTACAGCCACCAAGTGGAAGCCCTTCGTTTGTAACAGGGTAATTGAGATCCAAGGGCTCACAGACCCGAGTCGCTGGAGACATTGCTCTGGAAAGACAAAC